GTTACTTTATATCAAATAGCATTGAGCTGTCCTCACTAAAGGAGGCTCTTGATCTTGGCTATCTGCTCCCTCTGCTACTGAGGTTGTTATGGTGACTGTTTCAAATGCCTCTGTGGTAGCTCCCTTCTGCTGTACACAATATATCTTCTTTGGCTGACTGGAATTTCCCCCTCCTTTTTGCTGACCAACATCTCTATTCTTGGTGGTCTGGCACTGAGATAAAAAATGTCCTTTCTCTCCACATCCATAACATGTTTTATTGACTCTGGGTTCCAAATACGGGGATTTGTCACCCTTTCCTTCAAAGCTATTTTGCTCCTGGTGACTCAGCTCTGAAGGCTTGCCTTTAAAATGGCTTCCAGTAGCTTGATTATTTTGGAGGTAATCTCTAGGTCCTCTCCTCCTGTCATCATCCCACATTTTCCCACCAATTTTTACCTCAGAGAATTTGGGGTTCCTTATCTCAATTATAGAATCAGCAGTTTCACTTGCCTCCTGTAAAATTTTAGGCTTTTTGTCTCTCACTAAATATTTTAATTCACCAGGTAGAACAGAATAAAATTGCTCCAGGCCTATTACGCTTTTCATTTGTTCTAGTGACATGACATTTTTCCCGTTCCATCAATTTCTCCAAGCATTGTACTAATTATGCCCCTAACTGACAATACAATTCATCAAGCTTTTTGGTTCAGGGCACAAAATTTTCAGGTGCTCTGCGTTAATGCCATATCACGAATAAATAATTTTCATCTAAGCCTCAAAGTCTCTGGCTTGATCTAGGGGCATTTGTGAATATATGTAAGCTAAATCCCCACTTATTTGAGATCTTAGTACAATAATTTGTTCCTCCTCTTTCACATTAAAGTCCCAGCAAATGTGCTCAAAGGAAATAAGAAATGATTCTGGGCAGTCTATACTGGGGAAATTTCTTGAGATCTGTTTTTATATTCACCTCATTAGCATTAGCATTAGCATTATTATTGTTGTTATTTTGAGCTGCCAATTCTGTTTTTTTCATTTCTATTTGAAATTCCATCTCCCTTCGTCTTTCCTCAGCTCCAGCTTTTTTTCTCTCCATTTCAAAATCTAATTCCTTTTTCTGGCCTCTTGCTCAGCTCTGGTTTCTTCTCTAATTTCTAATTCCTTGAGCTCTAGCTCCTTAGCTTTTTCCTCTACTCTGAGCTGTAATTCTTGAGCTCTTAGTTTGAATTCTTGTTCCAATTTCCATTTTTCAAACTCCTGGGAAAGTAAAACATTTTCTCTCCCTGAGGCATCCTCATGAGTCTCCTCCTGTTCTACAGATATTTCCACAGGGACTCCATTTCCCTCCACTTCATGAGGTAAATCTTGAGGATAGGTTACCTTCATTGCTATCTTTTTACTTCTTTTAAGAGGCATATGTGTGTGTGTTTATATGGATAAGCTGGTTTATTTTGCAGAAAGATAGTCAAGCCTCTGTTTAAAATACTTTCCCCCTTTCTGAGTTACTCTGTAGCTCTCCCTCGGCAGCCAAGGATTGCTACACTGTTTTCTGGCACCCCACCAGCCACGCTGTTCTTTGGTCTGAGACAATCTATTTTCTTGCCTCCAGACACAAAACTATTTCAGAAATTTTGTATTTTCCAAGCCTCTGCTTGTTCCTGTCACCTCAGACCTGCTTCTGACACTGGCTTCCGCTTTTGTCCACCAGCGCTCCTTAACTCTTGGAGCCTTGGATTCAAAGCTAGCCCACTGGTCTATTCAAATCTTGAGGTAAACCTCAAACAGATTTTTTTCCCTCAGAGTCTTTCCCTATCTTTAGTCCCCCCAAGATCTGTTAGACCGCACAGGGAAGCCATTGAAATCCACAAACACAGCACAGCTCGCACACAAAATAAGAAAATCTAAAAATCAACAAAGCCTGGCTCCCAGCACTGAAAAATATAGCCTGCCAAAAGGTCAATGAACTCTACCCAACCACAAGGACCAGTGATCACTGCACAAAAAAGACTAGCCAATGACATCTATCAATCACATTGACAGATAATCACCCCTTATCACAACAAAACATCTATAACAAAAACACCCTGATCACAGGAAACATCCAATCTCCTGAAAAGAATAAAAACTCTGATCCCACAGCTACAAATACTCAACAATCCCACGCACTACACCAGAACACAGACAGAATTCTAGCTCCTGTCCTCTGAAGATGCCAGCCACAGAGACTGTCAAACCGTTAGGAAAAAAAAACTCCAGAACATGGCCAAACAGCCGGAAAAACCCACAACAACCTTAGGTAAGAATACTTTTGCTTTCTGCTATCTGGCTACTTTTGTCCTTAGCAGTCTAATCTTGTGGACACGTATTCATACATTTGCACATAACAATAGGCTGACACTGGGCTTTTCCTGGTGGAGTATTTGTTCTTCCTTGGCCTATAGTGCTTAGTGGCCAAATGATTGCTGATCTTAATAGAGGTTTACACACACATTTATTCCTAAATCCCACTTCTCATCTCTCTAAGAAATCAGCATCATTTCAATAAATGATTGAAAAAATATGTCAGAAAACTTGGGGAAATACTTTAAAAATAATCTTTAAAGGAAAAGATGAGTGCTAGCATTGAAAACATCTGATCAGAGCCCTTTGAGTGGATGTTCACTCCATTGCTAACCTACTTCAAAAATCAGCTTTCTTTCAAAACATTTCCTTCAAACTGTTTAGGAAGCCCTTTAAAAATAATCTCCGCTGGATGTTTCTTTTGTTGTTTTAGCTGAGTAGTGATAAACTAAAAGCTTCTGACCCAACAAACTCTTACCACCTGAACTCTGCCATTTGTACAAAATGGTACAAAAGAGGTTTGCTTCCTGGATGTGATTTTTAAAAGCCATGGTCCTGGTTTAGATCTTGCATCCTCTGGACAGTGGGAAAATACCAATATTAGAGATAAGCCCACAGTTACATATAGAGGAATAAATATTCTGTCCAGATAAACCCATGGTGGAACACGGTTACTGGTTTTCAATTCCTCCCTCTTTGGGAATGCAAACCAGGACTCTTGCTTCAGCCATAATTCTAAGAGTTGCTTTCTGTTGTGTTTCTGTTGTGTTTGGTTGTTTCTGTTGGCGGAAGGAGCCATGTGGATGTGATTGGGCTGTGTATGAACTGTAAGCTAAATGCTCTAAACATTGCCTTATTAGGTGCAGAGATGGTCATCAATTTCAATAGCACTATCTCCCAGATTAGCGGGTTTAATATTACAGTCCAGGTGAACTACCTTCTTTTTTTATTCAACTTGTGTATTGCCTTCTAGTGTAATATGCTACTAATTTGTAGTTGGTGTGTTCATTTGTTTATAGTAGCTATGGTCATAGATCTAGTTTAAGAAAGAAGAAACAAAGTCTAAGCAGTAAAGTCCAAACAGCAACAGAAATATATTGTAACATTTCTTTTAAAACATCAGGCCAAAATTCAGCAGTGTAGTCCCTACATATATTTAAATCTATAAATGCTTCTTTGTCGAAAATCTCACCAGCTATGTCCAGAGGTGACTTGATGAATTAGGCAATAAGATGAATAAACACAGAACAAAAGGTGTGATTTATTGATCATGAGGAAGAATTATTTATGTAATGAACATAGACCACCATGATACAAATCTATGTTGTCATATGTTTGCAGAATAGCCTGTGTCTGACTTTAGATTCCCTTGAACAGTCCCACATTAAGTCTGCATGAGGGCTGAGGGGGAAGATACATTATCTTTGACTTTTCATATCTGGCTTTTTCTTTATGTGACAAACTCTGGCCAGTCAGAGAATTACATTCTTTTGCGTAACAAAAGGATTGTTGTGCATCCTGAAATAAAAGGTTACACTTTCCATCGTTATAAAAACAGTTGTGACATATTAGAATAATCTCTCTGTCAATACTGTCTTTTACGTTAGAAGGATCAGTGTGGTAGTTCTAAATGTTCTTGAGGGAAATCTTGGCAAATTGCACCCTTCTCACAGTAAATATTCCAGATTTGTAACAAAAGATCTCTAATCCTGGAGTTAATGCAGTTAATATGCAATCTTATACACCTTTGCTATTATGTGAAGTAGCCTGAATCCCACTGGTAGTCCCAGCTAAAAGAGCCTAATTGGCTGAAATCCAGTTGTGCAGTGACACATAACTTTTAGAGGTGAATTGCTTCAGATTAAAATATCTGTGGTTCATGATGCAACAGATAAAGCCTATAGAGATTTCTTAACTTGAGGCAACTTACCTCTAAAAGTTAAGCCATAAGCATAACCGCAAAACAGGATTTCAGCTATTGAACCAATGCAATTTACCTAATTATTGAATCACCATTCAACGTTGCTTTAAGAAATTCAGCAGTTGGGACTACTGGCTGTATTCAAGCAAGTGGGTCTCCCTTCTACTTTGGTATCTGTCGCACCGCACTGTTAATTCTGCTGAGACATGTTACAGTGTTAATTTGAAGAAAGTCGTATAAAGTTGGGATCTTAGCACCCCTTGTGTATGATTGCAAAACATTTCCACTGCCGTGCTTTGTGGGAAGAATTCTTTCTTTTTAATACCAGCTCCCTGTGCCTCCTAGGACTTGGTGACTGGATTCTAGCACCATTTTGTTTTCTTCCCCACTCCTTCTTGAAATGTCCAATTGGTACTTAAGAGACAAATTCTGAGAGTAAAAGTTGCCTGGAGGAGTGACAAACTGGCCAAGGCAAATGGCGATCTGTATGGAGAAGTCGCTCCACAGAATTGCCAAAAGCTCTGTTTAGCTACTGAATGATATTGTCCTCACTTTTTTTTCTGAACAACCTGAAGAACTAGGAAAGAGTCTTTTAAAAAATCTTTTCTTTTCCTTTGTTAACATAAAGCCCACATTCTGAGAATTCTTGAGGGACAACTCCTCTTAGATGCTATGCATGTACTTCTCAGCCCCCCCCTCCCCCAGGTTCTTATATATTAAACATCACTTCCTTAGATACTCATTAAAGGTAACTCACTGAAGTTTGCATTTTGAAGTAGATGTCTGTTTTACCCCTTTCCACAGCCATGAGGTCTTCCTCAGTGACAACCGGAATATACGTCCTTTCAGGGTAGCAAGGACATCTAAACTGGAAATCAGAAGGACAACAGTTATTGTTCTCACTTCAGCAGAAGCCATCAATGAAACCCATACTCTGTGTAGATGAGTGACACTAAAATTTGCACTGGATGTTAGATAGGGACGGGGGGGGGGATTTCTTTCTGATGCCCATTCTAGTGCTAATTCTACTCTCTTTCTTTCTTTGAAAATATGCAGATAGCAACTGAGTTATCCCTTGAAAGTCTCACTGTGCCAGAAGTAGTTTTATAGTGAGTGTTGCTCCCCTTCAAAGTATGTGATTGGAATGCATATGTTCAGGGAAAGTGCAGACAAAAATACATATCTTGGTGGGAAAAATGTTAAAATGAATTTTAGTAAAAAATCAATTTCCAAATATTAGACAAAAATGCATCTTTAGGAGAAAGGCATGTTATATTGTTGTGTTTTTGTCCATGTAAGCTGCCCCAAGTAGACATTGTCTGGGGGTGGGGTGGGGTAAAAATCTAATAAATAAATAAATAAAT